GAGGGAGACCCATGTCTGAAGCCGGCTCCAGGCTCTGAGCTGTCAGCACAGATCCCGACGCAGGGCTTGAACTCGTCAACTGTGAGATCATGACCTGAGCTGAAGGTGGATGCTTAACCGACTGAGCCACCCAGGCGCCCTAAAAATAAGAAAACAGGACAAACCATTTCTAACAGTTAGTTCTGGGTAGTGAGATTTGAGTAATTTTTCTTCTTTCCATTCTTTTCTATTTTATATATGTTTGAGGAGATGCTACATTTAATAATCAGAAAATAAACTTCAGTTTAAATCATTGTTTTTTCATCAAGTGGGGATTATCAGACATCCTCAATTATAGTCTATGGACTAAGTAAGGTAAACAGGGAACCAGAAAACAAATGATCACATTTAAACTCTAGGTTTCCCAAATTTCTCCATTGAGACACTCGGCCATATTACCAGCTGTCTGTTATGTATCTCCAGTAGAAGGAGAGCTGCTTTATAATTCCTCAGATGTGTGCATTTATCCACTTAGGTTGTCATGATATTTTGTTACAGTTTAATTTAGAAATTGGAGCTAGTTTCTCAAATAATGTTGTACATTTTCATTTATAGTTGTTTTGGCCCTTAGCTGATTCAGAGATACTAAAACCAAATGAGGCAGCAGGCAAAATCAAAGTCAGGGCAAACCTACATCAGTGATACGTATATTAATTTTCCATACTGTTAATTATAGGGGCAAGAAGGATTTCCTGGAGAAAGTGGACCTAAGGTACCGTGCACCTCATATTAAGTAGAGATCAATCAGAAATACTCCTGAGGCTGTGAAATGTATCCTAGGATGATAGAAGAATAGTTAATGATCAATGAATAAAAAGAAACCTTTATGAGGAAAAGGGGGGAGAGAGAGAAGCAGGCTTTTTTTTTTTAAATTTCATTTCTAGTTTTTAAATTCATAAGTAAAGGAAAAAAATCACCTTTATTTTTCTTCTCACATGGACTCCTTCCCCTCTATCATATGTGTTTTCTTCTTGGCTCAAAGGAAAGTAAAATGTAAAGAAACTCAAAACCTGCCTTCACCTGGCTCGGTTTTTCCAATGTGATTACAAATCACCTTCTGATAATAAGTTAGTAATGATGCCCTCTACCTTAAAGCTTTCACTTTTGCTAGAAACATTTAGTGAGTTCAGTAAATGCCAAGTTCTGTGATTCGATCAGGGAGCAGAATAAAAAGCACGGACAGTTCATGTCTCTGAGCTGACTATGTTGTGGCTGGAAAGAGGGAGGCAGAGTAAAACAATGAGGCAGCCCTGTGCTGTGTAGAGAGCCATGAAAGGAGGAGGGGGAGGGCAGACACTTCAGAGAAGACTCTTGAAGATTAAAATGTATATGAAAAATGTCTTCGTGTTGGAATCAGTTTGAAAACACATTGCGATGTGGCTCTTGGATTTTAATTACCATTTTATTTTTCTGAACTTAATTAGGGTGAGACTGGGGACCGTGGTGGTCCAGGAGAAACTGGACCCAAAGGAGCCAGAGGCAAAACGGTAAGCATCTTAGATTCCAAGGTCTTACAACCTCGGCTACTTTGGGAAGTCCTTCCCATGCTTTTATACTCATTTGAGTTGTTACTTGTTCCTCAAGACTTGCAAAATGTGTGTGTGTGTGTGTGTGTGTGTGTGTGTGTGTGTGTGTGTGTTGTTAAGGCATACCTGGGGAAGGAAATGGATATATGACTCCTCCTTCAATGCCAGCAAGAAGGCAAAGACATATATGCTCTTAGTGAACAAGTTCACCCATTCTGGCTGCCAACGTACCATTCTTTTTTTTTTTTTTTTTTTAAGTTTATTTTTGAGAGAGAGAGAGAGAGAGAGAGTGTGAGTAAGGGAGGGGCAGAAAGAGAGGGAGACACAGAATCTGAAGCAGGCTCCAGGCTCTGAGCTGTCAGCACAGAGCCCGACGTGGGGCTTGAACTCATGAACCGTGAGAGATCATGACCTGAGCTGAAGTCAGACACTTAACCAACTGAGCCACCCAGGCGCCCCTTCATTCTTAACACTGGAAGTAAGACTTTGTTACAGGAATCCTCGTAGTCAAAAATTTGCACTGGAAAATATGGTCAGTTTCATCCTGTCTCCCTGGCAGATTTAGTGCAGCCTAAGGCCCGTTGGCGTCTTGTTCTTCACTATTAAGGTTTTGTTAAACTACTTTTGATGAGGTATTTAGCTTAATACCCATTTAGCTTAAGAGAGTATGTCTTAATTTTTATGAAAAAGTGTTTACACTTTTTCATAAATGAAAGGACTGAATATGTCCTTATTATTCCATAGGGAGGCTTGGAAATTTCCTAATGTCTTGTGTCCAGCATAGCTCATAGGCATTGGCATATTTGGGTTCCAGCGGGTTAAGAATGGATTTTTGCATTGGTTGACTTTTTATATCTCCACTGTGTATAAATGACGTGGCTGCTTTGAGAAAGAGACATTCTTCTGATCATTGCCTCTCAATAAATTTCTTTGTTTTTTTTTCTTCAGCACAGCACTGACTGGGTAAACTGATCTTAACACCATATTAATTAACAGGAAAAGAAAAACAAAGTCTGATACAACTTGATACTTGAGGTGGTTTTCCAGTTTTGTCACTGTGGTTAATTTTATCCTGATCTGAGTTTTTATTAAGCACAACAGCTTTATGTACAGAGATTGGGTTTTTTTAGGGGAAAAAAACCCCACTGTTTAATTGCCTGCTCTTCTAAGGGATTGTGTGGTGGCTTGTATGCTCTCCTATGTGTTCATTCTCTTTTGCATTACACTTGGCCATTTCTACCTCTATGACTCTCCAGGATTTGAAAATTTTTATTGAAATACAATTGATATACAATATTATATTAGTTTCAGGTGTGCAACATAGAAATTACATAGATTACAAAGTGCTCACCATGATGTATAGTCACCATCTGTCACCATATATTATTACAATATTATTGATCATATTTCCTCTGCTGTACTTTTCATCCCTATTACATATTTATTTTATAACCGGAAGTCTACCTCTTAAGCCCCTTCACCCACTTCACCCACCCCTCCACCCACCTCCCCTCTGGCAACCACCAATTTGGTTGTCCCTTCTATCCATGAGTCTATTTCTGCTTCTGTTGTTGTTTCTTTGTTCATTTGTGTTATTTTTTTAGATTCTACATATAAGTGAAATCATATGGTATTTGTCTTTCTCTGACTTACTTCACTTAGCATAATAACCTAGAGTCTATCCATGTTGCCACAAATGGCAAGATTTTATTCTTTTTATGATTAACATTCCACTGCAATATATACACCATCTTCTTTATCCATTCATCTGTTGATTGACACTTAACATTGCTAAGGATGTTTATCTTTTCAGATTACTGTTTTTATTTTCTTTGAGTAAACATTCAGAAGTGGAATTACTGGGTCATATTGTGTTTCTATTTTTGATATTTTGAGGAACCTCCATACTGTCTGCAACAATTAACATTTCTACCAGCAGTATACCAGGGCTCCCTTTTCTCCACATCCTTGGCAAACTCTTGTTATTTCTTATCTTTTTGAATCTAGCCTTTCTGGTAGGTGTAAAGTGATATCTCACTGTGGTTTTGATAGTCTTTTCCCTGATGATGAATGCTGTTGAGCAGATTTTCATGAGTCTGTTGGCCATCTGTATGTCATTTTAGAAAAATAGCTGTTCAAGTCCTCTGCCCGTTTTTTGATCAGATTTGTTTTTGTGTGTGTGTGTGTGTGCATGTGTGCGTATCACATCTTTATCCATTCGTCTACTGATAGACACTTAGGTTGCTTCCAAATCTTGGCTGCTGTAAATAACGCTACAGTAGTGGCGCCTGGGTGGCTCAGTCGGTTGAGCATCCAACTTCGGCTTAGGTCCTGATCTTGCAGTCTGTGAATTCAAGCCTCACATCGGGCTCACTGCTATCAGTGTGGAGCCTGCTTCAGATCCCCTGTCTCCA